TCAGCCCACCAGGGGCGGGGCTGACTGGCATGTGGTGCTTGGGGATTGAACCGTGGTCCCTGTGATTTGCTAAGGTTGTTCTAAGTAGGTGCTTTAGACCACTGAGCCATCTCACCAGCCCCATTGAAAGATAATTTTGGGGGGATTTCAAAAATCAGTTGGGGTTTGAAGTTATTTTTTTTAGAGCTTGAAATACTTAAAGCTCTCCTTGATTTAATGGTTTGGGTTGAGAAGTCTGCTGTGAATCTGATGGGTTTTCATTTATAGGTAATTTGTTTCTTTTCTCCAACCTTGTTTAATCTGTTCTTGTGTTGAATTTCTGGAATCTTGACTATTATATGCCTTGGTATAACTTTTTTTCTCATCATGGCTAATTGGAGTTCTATATGCCTTATTCATATGTATATCATGTCATATCCATGCTTGCAAAGTTTTCTGTTTTTTTTTTTTTTTTTTTTTTGTATTTTTTAGGAAAGGGTCTACAGGGTATTCATGGTCTCAATACTATCTTGGATTGGTAATGATCCTCCTGTTTACAGATTCCCAAGAGCTGGGATTACAGGTGTGCACCTCCATGCCCAGTCTCAATTGCTGTCTCAGTGTTCCCCAGGCACAGCAGGCTTGGGGATCGAACCCCTGGCCCTTGCACCTGCTTGCAGGCGCTTTAATCTGCTGAGCTATTTGATGGGCTTTTTCTGGTATTCTTTGAACAGATTTTTCTTTTTATGTCCTTTGTGCTCTTATGATACTGATGCCAACTAATCTTAGTAATCGTCTTCTTCTTTGCATTATGTGTTATCTGTTGGATTGATTTTTCATGGTTCCTTAGTATTTTTAAGCTTTTGGTTTGATGATCACTCACCGCAACCCTGTCTTGTGTTTTTATTTTTATTTTGTGTATTTAGTACAGGGTCTACAGGGTCTCACTACACAAATCAGACTTGTAGGGATCCTCCTGTTTTCAGCCTTCTAAGTGCTGGGATTATAGACACACGCCACCATGCCCAGTCTTAACACTATCTTCTAGATTTGATACTCTTTCTTTATGTTGATTATGCTGTGTATTCTTCCTGTAGAAGTTTTAGTTTTCTTGGATATATGTTTCAGTCTCTTATGTGGAATTCAGTTTTTTCCTATGTTGGGCATTCATGATTTTAATAACTTCCCTAAGCATCTTTTTTTTTTTTTTTTTAATCTGTATATGCTGTAGATTCACTAACCATGTCCTTAATCATGGTCATCATTTGTATAACTGTCTGAAATTACTTTTTCCCCTTAAGATTCTTTCATGTGCTTTGTTACTTCTGCTGCAGGAAGTTCAGCTGGGTAGCTTTTGATTTCTTCTATGTCAGTGCCCCCTGGGTTTGCTTTGGATGAGCTGGAGGTCTGGAGTTGCATCTTACTTCTGTGTGTCCTCATTTTTAGTTTATTTGTTTTCTGCATTGATGCTTATAAATTGCTCTTGGTAGGTAGCATTGTTACTAGTATGATGACCTCTTTAGGAAGTGATTGTTTTTTCTTCCGGGTCTATAGTTTTGTGGCAGTGCCCAATTCAAACCGTGACGCTGCTCTTGCTATTAGACAGAGGAGGTGGTTAGAGCCCAGATCCGTGCTGAATAATACCTCTGTGCTGGTCATCGGATTAGGCCATGGTGTTTGTTTTGGGACTTGGAAAATCCATGGAAGTTGAGGTTGCACCTGATGTTGGTCATGGGGTTGGGGCTTGAGTTGTTTAGTTTGTAACACTTGGTTTTCCTTTTTATTGGCCAGCTCAGCCCACCCTGAGGGCAGGGCTGACAAAGCATGTGCTGCTGGGAATTGAACCGCAGTCCCCTGCACCTGCCTAAGCTTGCCCAAGCAGGTGCTTTAGACCGCTGAGCTATCTCACTGGCCTCTAGTTTGTGACACTTGGTAGTGGGGGTGGGGATCCTCTTGCAGGCCCTCCTATGGCTCCCTGACCATGGACATTTCCCTTATTGTCCCTCACCTGGTTTAACACTAGGAACCCTGAGATGAAGCTCTGACTTGCGGCTGCTTTGCATCCCACGCACAGTTGTTCTCTCTCCCTAAAATGGCATCTGACCAAGCACCCTCTTAGGACACAGCAGTTGCTTGGACTGAAGTCACTCACCAGCTGTCATAACACACCACGCACTGGTGTGCTTCTCCCAGGACCCTTGTGGAGTTGCCTGCTTTTACTGTGTCTCCCTCTTGTTGTTGTAAGAACCTCTTCTAGGGGATCACTGAATACATAGTGATTGTTTGTGGGCTGTGGGTTATGGGTTGTTTTTTTTTTTTTTTTAGTTCTGGAAATCAAATTCATGACCTTGCACTTGCCAGGCAGGCACTGTGCCACTGAGCTATATCCCTAGCCCTCATTTCTGTATATTTATTATTTATTATTTATTATATTTCTGTATATTTATTTACATATATAAATATATGTATTTTTCGTATTTTTTTTTTAAATTATTTGTTTGGAGAAATAAAGAATATGAATGGTAAAAAAGTATTATTTGTTTGATACAGAGTCTCCTCTATGCAGCTCAGACTCATAGTGATCCTCCTGTCTCAGCCTCCCCAGCGCTGGGGTTACAGGTGTGCACCACTGTGCCCAGTTTCAAGGCTGGCACAATGCATCCGGGCTTCTGGGGCCAGTATAGCTTGTGGTACTGGGGAACAACAGGAGTCCTTGTGTTTGCCAGGCAGGCACTTAGACCGACATATCTCCCCAGCTGTATTTTTTTATTTCTGCAGAGGGATTTCATAACTTTCTTTTTCACTTTAAAGAGGAAATTGTCCTTAAGATCCTCTAAATAATATACCTTCTTTTCCATTTGTTGCAGGTGGTGCGGTTATGTCAGAATCCAAAGCTGGCGCTAAAGAATAGTCCACCTTATATTTTAGACCTGCTGCCCGACACCTACCAGCATCTTCGTACTATCTTGTCAAGATATGAGGGGAAGATGGAGACGCTTGGAGAAAACGAGTATTTTAGGGTATTCATGGAAAATTTGATGAAGAAAACTAAACAGACCATAAGCCTTTTTAAGGAGGGTAAAGAAAGAATGTATGAAGAGAATTCTCAGCCTAGGTAATGGAGAAATACTACACAAATATTAATTCAGGTCTGTGACTGTCTGAATGGGTAACACATAGAAGCAGTTGAGTTGGATTGTTTTTTTGTTTTTGTTTTTGTTTTGATTTTTCAGATGGGGTCTTGCTCTGTAGGTCATTCTGGCCTTGAACTCACTGTGTAGCCCAGGCTGGTCTCAAACTCATGGCCGTCCTCTTGCCTCAGCCTGTCAAGTGCTGGTGTGCACCACTACAACCAGCCTGGATTGAATTTTATGTAAGCAGGAATAGAGTTGAGATTTGATTAAAGGTGTGATTTATACAGGGCCAGCAAGATAGCTTAGTGGTCTAAAGTGCCTGCTCAGTCAAGCTTAGGCAAGGGTTCAGGGACGTTGGTTTGATCCCCGGCCCCACATGCCGCCAGCCCCACCCCCAGGGTGGGCTGAACCAGCCAAACAAAAAAAAAAGTGTGATTTACACAAAAAGTTGCCTTGGAGCATGTTAGACCATCCTTATTAGATTGACATTTATTTACCTCTGGAAAACCAGTTAACCATGGAATTTGTTGTAGTCAAGTTGGGTGCAGTACCACACATCTGTAATCCCAGTACTCTGGGAGGCTGAGACAGGAAGTTCACCAAGTTTGAGCGTAATCTGGGCAATTCAGCAATTTAGGAAGACCCTGTCTCAAAATAAAATACATAAAAAGGTTTGGGAGTGTAGCTCACTGTGAAGCCCTGGGTTCAGTTGTCAGTACTACTTGGGTTTGGAGGAGAGTTTCAGAGGCCTTTGGAACAGGGAAGATGGTGAAACCTGGAAAAAAAGGCAGTTGAGGCTAAACTGAGATTAGGAGTAAATAATATGTCAGATTTAACAGAAGCTTTTTTGCAGATGAAGTAAATTACAAATATGGGATAACAGGGAAAAAAAAATAAACTGATTGTTTCAATAACCACTGGGGGTTGGTGGTACTAGGGATTGAAACCAGGGACTTCACACACTGCCATATCCCTGATTATTTTTTTCCCCCCTGTTGTTGTAGTTTTGAGACAGAGTCTTGCTAAATCACTCAAGCTCATGGTTACAGTATTCTGCCTTAGCCTCCTAGAGTGCTGAGATTACAGGTGTCGGGTGTGTGCCATCATGTTATGCTTGACTCCTTTTTTTGTTTTGTAAGCAAAGTGAAATGACATTTCCTTAATAGGCAAGAATAATTTTTCAGTTGGAGTAAGAATAGGCAAGTTAATTTGTTTAATAAACATTTGATGCATCACAAGTATTTTAGTGTACCAAGTAAATACTAAAAACTAGGCTATTCTAGTTAAATATTATATACTGGGGGAAAGTAAGGATCAGCTCTTTGCACAGTGACATGAATGTGATTGTGTTTGTTTTTTCCTAGTTAGAGATAAAATATTCATCTAGGACAAGTAATAAAATGTAAATTTTACTAAGATTTCTTAGTAATTTAATCTTGAGTGATTTCAGTTATGTGGCATTAGGTTATTATATACAACTCAAGCAATAACCTGTCCAATGGTGTCTTGTAATCTGTTATTTCTTTGACTGCTGCTTTAGATTTTGGCAGTGTTAGTTGATGTTTTGTTTTGTTTTGTTTTGTTTTGTTTTGAGAAAGGGTATCACTATGCAGTTCAGGTTGTCTTTGAACTTTATATTATGTAGCCAGGTGTGGCCTGATTTACTGGATCCTTATTCCTCAGCCTCCCTGGAATACTGGGATTACGGGCATGTGCACATGTGCCACCACGCCCAGCAGCAACCTTAGTTCTAATTTAAATTTTTTTTTCTACTTCATTACACTATCTTTACTGACTTACTATCTTTACTGTTCCTCAGGTTTAAAGTCCTTAATATCAATCTTTCCTTGAAAATATTCCTGGTGACTCAATTTAATTTGTAGGAACCTTTGTAATTTCTGGATTATATGCAGAAGAACTTTAGTTCTATAAAATTTAAAATTTCAACTTTTTAAAAAATGGAATCTGAGAGTGGAATCTTGGGAGTAAGGCTTAATTGGAGTGTGCTTCCCAAGCATGTGTGAGACCTTGGGTTTGATTTCAGCGTTGCAAAAAGGGAAACAGAAAAATTGAAGTAAAAAAAGCAAGAACTCTTGACTGTACTTCTTAGGTAACTAGTCATTTTTTTTTTTTAATTTTATTTATTTATATGTGTGTGTGTGTGTGTGTGTGTGTGGCCAGCTCAGCCCACCAGGGGGCGGGGCTGGCAGGCATGTGGTGCTGGGGGA